GATGCAGCTGAAGAAAAACACGTTGATGTTGTCAAATTTAAGATTTGTATTGGTGAGATTAGAAACATTATTTATTTATTTACAACTCATATTATTTGAATACATTGAATATTTTGGGTGTATCGTAAGAACTATTTTTTCTGCAATTTGGTTGTTTGAAACTGGAATATAGCAATGATATTTTCGAGTTTCAGGAATTAATCATGTTTTGTTGTTTTTGACATCATCCACATCCAGAGGGCCAGTCACTTCGAATGTATGGGAATGGTAGGAAACCATTTGAAAATGCATGGAAATTTTCAGTTTTTATTCATTATCCACTTTATGGGCAGTTTTAGATGCACAAAAATTGCACGAGTACATTACTATGGTGATACGGTAAACACTCGTTTATTTGTTTCCTTCTGTGAAAGCATGTTTAGTCACAAATCGTGGATTTTCTGATATTCTCCATACTGCAAAAATGACTTTCCTACCACTGAAGGGGCGACATCTCTCGGATCTTCAGTATAGCTACTACTCAAATCATATAATTAATTGATTTCACTTTCTTAAATATCGGATCAAACATAACAAAATGATTTTTTTGTTTGAAGATCATCTTTACGACTATACAGTCATACAGTTTTTGGGGTTCGTTATAGGGTGCTCGTGTTACCTAGCTAAACTGCTCTGGTTTCCATTCTCTTAAGGGTACCTCCAATTGCATCACAAGGACCTTTGCCGTGTAAAGTTGCAAAAAAAATGCCATTCAATTTCTACATTATGCTTATCTTTAAATCCACAAAAACTAGTAATTTTTTTAATGTTTTTGTATTGCGATGCTGCTCTTACACTTTTGAACTGTTATTTGCGACTTTAAAAAATCTAATAATTTTGAGATAAACAGCAGAACTGCTACTGTGTCTAGCTTTGAAATGTCCAAAATAACCTTTTCTGTTGAGGATAACACGCACTTCTTGACCTCTTTGTCGTAATCGGTGATACATGGATGGATACCCATGATGCCTTGGTTGAATGTCTCAATATTATGGAACAAACGGATTCTATTAACAAGAGCCGATGGGATGATATTCACAATGGATTCACTCTCGATATCTACGAGTGCTATTGAGCGTACACCACTGGTAGAAGCTTGTTGAATTCCGTCATTCGAAAGCGTTTTGTGTGATGGCAAACGATAAACTTGAAGACGGCATCTACTACAAATTTTCAAAGAATTATCCAGAGGTATTTTTCTTTTATCATATATAGACGTTGGGCTTTAGTGTTGGTGAGATTGTACTAGGAGATCTCTATGGTACCCAGAGAATTTATCTCAAACACAGGTTTAATTGTAACCAACCAATAGAGGACTGAAAAATGGCCCTAATGTTTGTTTATAATTTGGGTAGGTCTATATTAGGAGTATATACTTATAAACTTGTTTCTCTTCCGCTGCGTCTAAATATAAACGGGTAAGTCTGACAGCTACCATATCTGAGAATGAATTGTTTGTATTGTAATATACATTCATGGAAAACATATCTGCTGCTGCTGAATATCACAACTAATATTTGAAAATGATATAAAATGTTGAAAATTATTATTCCTATTATTATTAATTCGAATTAACTTGAGATCGACTGAACTTACGAATAAAGTTATTGCAGAAAAATGGAGAAATTTGAGATAATCAACATTTTACGTTTTATTATTATTAATTTACTAAGTTTTTTTTTTTATTTCAGTGCATTTTTTTCTTAAAGATAATTTAACTACACTGAAACAAGGACCATAGTTAGGAATACTATTTTGCAGAAAACACTTATTCTCAATATAACCATGCTTATTACCGTTAAATCTACTATGAATTCAGTATTGTTGACTATGAATGTTTACAAACTTACTATAATTCTGGCAAAACTACTATGCTTGGTAAAAAAGGATAGTAATTTTGATAGATATAATAGTAAAATTTAATTAAATTGTTTTCTGCACAAATCTATTGGTGAGGGTATTTAATTTAAACCAGCAATATAGTATTTTTACCAATGTATTTTGTTTCAGTGTACCTACAATTTCTTTTCAGATGTTCTGGATCAACAATAGAAAAGGGCCCATCAGCATTTGTAAACAAACCGTTCCAAAGCCCATTCCTCACAAATTCGAAGGCCGCTCACACAAACCAACACCATCATCGTGTAGGTAGAAGTTTCCCCTATCCGATGATGGTGTTGTTTTGCGTGGTCAGCCTTCGCTTTGTGAGTAAAGGGCTTTGGAACGGTTTGTTTACAAATGCGGATGGGCCCTTTTCTATTGTTGATCCAGAGTTTCGTGTTATGATTTTTTGAAAAAATATAATCTAAAAATATAATATAATATAATTTTTTATACACCCTTGTCAAAAGTTACTGTGAAGAAAAAAATCATATTTAAATGAAAAATGCAACCATTGGTAGCTGTTTGCTGTTTGCTAAGTAAAACCTAAAAAATCTGCCGGAAAATGAGGAAATTGACGAAAATTTTATTCGGTCTCGAAATAGTACCAATAGACTAAGTGAATCCAATCTTTACTTTTCTCAAATTCAGGAATTTTTCCCTGGAAAAACCTGGGAAAACATGAGGCAAATTAACTCATCGCTGAGTTCCTGCACTTTTGGCGATTATGAGTGAACTAAACTCAAATTTGAGTCGTTCTCATTCGCCGTGTGGATGATAGTAATTTGACATCAAGAGCAAATTTTCATCATGTCGAAAGTAACATTCACACCGATCCGAGAAAAATAAAGTTTTGTTTTGATGACCAAAAAGTTATTGATATTTCCAATTAAACACATATAATCTCATAGTAATAGAAATGTTTAACATATTAAGCAGGGTTTTAATCATACAAAGCAGATCGCTAGCTTTCATGCTAAAAATACTGGTTTTTGAGTCAAAAGTTATTATGCGTCGTTTGGTGGCCCCCTAATGTTACCTAAGTCAAAGTGTATTTACCACGATACTCGCGATCAATTATAAATCACGTCTCCTCACGTGCAGCCCATTCATCATTTTAGGACCACCCAAATCATCTTAGCAACAAACAGTTCGGTTTATTCACTTTAATAATGAGAAGATCAAGTTATGGTTCGCGTTTATGCGGATTACAAGCTGTTACAAGAGGAAGGTGGTGTAGTATAAAACAGCTTTTTTTTGCGTTACGTAATTTGTGAACAGACGTCGAGTGGAGGATTAGATCAAACTGGGTGCGTAGCATTTAGGGATGACATGAATCTCCGAAATCATCGCACCAAAACTATAATTTTCATTTTATATGTGAAATATTTGTTGTTATATTTAAAGGATAACATGGTGCCAGTGGTGAATCTTTAAAATCTACTTGGTGGCTCTACATCTGAATCTAGAATGCTGAAAACTATTATGAATACAATACGGCATCAACAGAAATTTAATTAAGTATTATGTTTTCAAGAATACAGAGCAAAAAAAATCCTAAATGTGTCGGGTTTGCGAGTTTTAGTTCAGTGCACCATTTTGATTCACCCATTCAGCGCTAAACTGCCCAGGAGGCATAAAATGGAATGGCAGAGCTTATTTGTTTGAGATCCGAAAGAGTGAGCACTCTACATATTATTACTCTACGGGTATAACCAAAGCCGCATGGCTGACCGATTGCAGTCACTATTCTGTTGAAAACAAAATAACACAACCCACCACCAACCCTCTCGATCGATGATCAGAACAAACTCGCTAAACGTGTGACTAAAGAAGTGCATCTCAATCAGTTCATCTCATCAGTATATTATGGTCGGTGGAGTTTTCAAGGATTAAAAATTTCCTGTCACATCATTCTTAGAAGGGGAAGTAAACCGCTGGTTCCACCAAATCATTAGGAACAGGTGGTTAGCCGAGAATTACTATTGATACATTCAAAGTGTTTTTTATGTTACTTCATACGCGAAGTTAACGATTTTCAGAGTTGGTTGGAAATGCTAACATGAAGCTTTAGTGTGATGATTTATTAGCTAGAGAATGATCTTTAGAAGAGGGTAGGTGGATAGTTCCGTTAGAGTACGGCAGTATGAAAATTGAATAGAAGTTGAAAATGAGCGAAGGGCCATTAAAGCGACAGTTTTTCAAGATAGACGCACATTTTTGCCTAGCCCGTACGATGTACGCGGGGACTTGAAGTATGTCTCCAAGTCCACAGGCAAAAATGTGCGTCCCTCTTGTTGCTCATAAACTGACTGCGGCTGTGGAATAGTTCTAGCGACGTTTTCATCACTACCTAAAGCCCCACGTTGTGAGAGCATTTCCAGTCGATGGTGTGTTATAATGCAGTTCTTCTTTACCCAACTATTGTGTTGCTCCTCTCGTCATGACCAACGTGATCATCTCAGAGAGAAAGCAGTAGGGTGGTTGTTGCGTGCTGTACCATCATCAGCATTGTTGACGGCTACTCCCGCCTTGAGTTGTTACATTCAAAGTGTTTTTTATGTTACTTCATACGCGAAGTTAACGATTTTCAGAGTTGGTTGGAAATGCTAACATGAAGCTTTAGTGTGATGATTTATTAGCTAGAGAATGATCTTTAGAAGAGGGTAGGTGGATAGTTCCGTTAGAGTACGGCAGTATGAAAATTGAATAGAAGTTGAAAATGAGCGAAGGGCCATTAAAGCGACAGTTTTTCAAGATAGACGCACATTTTTGCCTAGCCCGTACGATGTACGCGGGGACTTGAAGTATGTCTCCAACGTACGGCTAGGCAAAAATGTGCGTCTATCTTGAAAAACTGTCGCTTTAATGGCCCTTCGCTCATTTTCAACTTCTATTCAATTTTCATACTGCTGTACTCTAACGGAACTATCCACCTACCCTCTTCTAAAGATCATTCTCTAGCTAATAAATCATCACACTAAAGCTTCATGTTAGCATTTCCAACCAACCCTACTATTGATAGTTAGATTAAAATTATCTTGTAAATCTATTAACTTTGCGTATTTCTCTCTTTTCAGAAAAACGTTCGTCAACGAAGGGCCTAAAGCATTCTTCAAAGGTGGTCTTTGCCGTATGATCGTCATTGCTCCATTGTTTGGCATCGCTCAGATGGTATACTTCCTTGGTGTAGCTGAATCAATTCTCGGAATCAAGCAAACAAAAGTTTAAACCGCATATGTAGTAGATAACCCTTGCCACAAAATCGCTAGTAAAAAAAATAATAGAAAGTAAACGCTAAAGTCAATGAACTAGCGACAATTACACACATGTAGTTTGTGCTGTAGGCATCCCGTGTTCACCATTAGATAGGGTATAGAAAAGACGCAGTTTGGAAAATGTTGCACGATGAAATATGGGAATATTTGTATTGTGGAAAAAATGTTAAATGACACGCAAGTAAATTTTATTTTGAGATTTCACTTTCAAACAGTAATGACAAATGCATTAGTTTTGAACAAAAAAGTCCATCTAAAGTTTTCAATTTCAAATTAATTAACTACTCATATCTTGCCGTGCAAAATTATGAAATCTGCATCTTATCTCGTCACAATTCCTCAAGAAATATACAAGAGTATATTTGGTCTATAGCGGATTTATGATTGATTCAGGTTCGAACTAGTTCCAACCCGTGTAAACCTCAACTTGCCCAGGCTTTACAAACATGCGATCAAACTAAGTTTATAAAAAAATAAGATGATAACAGATTCAAGTTGAACCTGACTTAAGTTAAGTAGGAACCGTATTCCCAAAACAGCATTTTAATGATTGTGTAGTAAATGATGCATTGTTTGTCCCCTTATGAAATATTAATTGTTCATCTATGTCTGGAAGCAAAATCTGATTGCTAGGTCATATGAGGCTCATATTCAGAAATGTTGTTTCAAAATAAGAGCAAAGCTATTGGCATTGGTATTTCAACGAAAATGATACTGGTATTTCAAAGTAATTGACTATGACTACGAGGTATGCTAACTGGTAAATTCCTCGATAAATGTTATAAATTAGTTATGTGAATAAGCCATATATATATGTAGATGTGTTCTTACAGGCATCATAAATGTGATTATGCTGACAATAAAATTGTAGCTCACTAGCAAGTAGATGTATGTTGAAAGAAAAATACCTTTCTACTGAGGGCCTGACACGCTGCATTTCGTACCCAGCATAAAAACGTGAAAACATATCAATATAAGTGGGTCCAGAGAGTGGGCCCGCGACTTGGCCCGCTATGGTTGCTTGTTATTAGTAAAGATAGGGGTACCATCTCCTTGCTTTCTACTCATTTTGTACAAACCAGCAGTTCCATTTCAAATGACGATTTTTTTTTAAATTTTTTGATCGACCTTCTACGATTATGTTGAAACTTTGCACAGTTGTTTGTTATTGTCCAACATGCCATTTTACATATTCGGTTTTTTTTAAATACTTTCAAGATTGAACACTCACGAATAACATATGAAAAGAGTGAAAATTGCTCAAACTATGCGATAAGTGAATTTTAACCTACGAGTATCTCGAAAATAACAACTTTGGGCAATTTAGGCATTATGAGCTTTTTTGTTGTAAATTTAATGTGTTTTAATATTAACACTGTTTCAAAGATATTCGATAACTATCGGTAGTATTTTGGAAAATACTTATTTTTTTCAATAATTCATAACTTTTTTAATTATGATTTTTTCCAGCAAATACACAGTGTCAATAAGTATTTCTTTACCTAAGCTACAAAATAAATATAAAAAATATTTAAAAAAGATATGCAATTTGAGTAAACATCTCAAAAGGGCGAAAATTTCTTAAAATATGCGATAAGTGAATTTAAACCTTCGAGTATCTCAAAAATAATAACATTAGGCAATTTAAGCATTAAATTAAACTACAAAATAAATATAAAAAAATAATTTAAAACAAAAATATGCAATTTGAGTAATTTTATTTTTTTTTAGATAATTTGGATTTTTTTTTGTAAAAAGTATATAATTTTTTACAGTGTATATTTTTTCTTGGAAGGCATAATACTTGTCCGCAACTACTTCTAAGACACCATCTCGATCAAACAAATCGTTCCCTAGATATATATTTTTCTATTGATGCATATCATTTTCGCATAAGCCCTAATGTTATATAGTGTTAGTCGTGTGCAAAAGTAGGGAACCATACATGTAAAATGGCATGTTGGGCAATAACAAACAACTGTGCAAAGTTTCATCATAATCGTAAAAGGTCGATCCGAAACGATTTGCGAATCTGTGTGGAACTGCTGTAACCTGATGTATCTGTATCAAGCAGTGAAAGGGGCAGGGGCCTCAAATTCTAGTCAGTTTAGGCATAGAGAACAGACGTTCAACTTTCGTCAGAAACGTGTGTAAAGATAAGTGGGAGCATCGCCGTTACGTAGTGCTAGCCTCTCCTGATTTCCTCTATATTTTTTCCACCATAAGGACGATGACTCCACTCACTGAAATTATTTTCCTAAAGAGGTGCTACACGGTAAGAAATAAGTACCCAAAAGTAAGTTCTTTTCACTCATCTCGGCAGTATAGTGCAGGAAGCCAAAGTAAGTCAAGCAGGTCAAACTAGTTTTCATTTACTTGTGTGCAATCCGTATGGAATTTTCCCAACATTTTCTACCCAAAACTAAGTTAGTTGTACCCTCAAGTAGATACTATAGAAGCACGTAAAACATCCGAGGTGCGATGCATCTAAATCTCATCTAGCAATTCGAAAAATCTCATGCAATCTACGAAAAATCTACTTTCATTTCTCGCATCTACTTGTATCGCCCTTCATGTTTGTGCAGGAAATCTTTAAAATCGACATTAATCTTCTATCTATCTACTGAGCGTGCGCAAAACGAAGTCGTTCCTGTCGCGTCATCACATTCGTTTGTATTCATTTCAATCACGCGGTTCACTCTCGGATACTTCTTTCATTCCGCGCTCACGGAAGAATGGTAGTAAATATCGAAGGAAATATATGGGAATGTGTTGTTTTCTTATTGAAAATGCAATGTATACTAAAAAGTAATGAACAGAAAATGTGTAGTAGTAAAAAATATTTATATCTATGCCTTTGCAAAAGTCTCTGGGAAAACATCCAGACTTGGCGAACAAACTTGACCAAAACACACAACAGGGAACCGGGTTGATATGAATGAAAATTAAATAGAATTTGTTCTGAGTTAGCTACCAAAATGTGAGTAGTTTCGCGGTAAGTTCCGTGATTTTCGACGGAAAATTAAAACACCAAGAGAATAAGAAACGATTATTTAAAAAATAAACAGACTAAAATAAGTTTATTTTTATTGTATTTTCTTCCCTAGCGAGCGTGAACTAATTTTAGGTTTTCCAATTTGTAATCTTGTGCATTACAAAGTGTGTGCAATAATACGATGTTTCAATTGGTTTTGAGTGGATGCAATATTTTAGGTTCTTTTTCAATATATTTTAATTATTTTGTTTTTTTTTTAATTAATTGTAATTTAATGAGCATGGCAGAGATGAACATGTCTTTTTAGTCGGCGCAGTATAATTCGTTGAATCCAGGTCATTTAACGAAAGATAACCTGGAACACGAGCAGAGGATCCGTGATCCAGCAACGGTACCTTCACGTCGCGCATTGGAGAGACCTCTGAGAAGTTACCTGAAATAGGAAAAGGAAAAATCAGATGTTACGTTTCCGTTTGTTTGTGAATCGATTGTGGAAGAGTTAGAGGTACTTTTCAGTGTTCAACCTGTAAAATTTCTACCTTCACGCAGAAAAAAATATTTTAAAACTAATAATATTTGACGTAAAATTAATAAGAATTTCATTTTGTTTTGGCTGCAAAAAGAAATCATTATTGTTTCAACAATCCAGTATTTTTGTTCCTCAAAACCCATGGATTGTTAAATCAAAAAGAAAATCTTTTCGAATTTACAAGAGCTTTCATGGTTTTGACGTAAGCTGTCAAATTTGGCAGCTGGGTCAACAACAAAAATATGTTTGTTTTTAAAAGAGATTTCTTGTTGATTCAATCATATTTATTTTATAAAGTCTGACAATTCACGCAGTAGAAATAAAAATGTGTTTATTGATGTAAAAATAATATGGCATTTTTTTTATGTTTCGTTTTCATTTTGAAACAAAATTGCAGAAATTGTAATTGAATTTCTGAGGCATAAAATAAAAGCCCCCGGTTCATGAGTTGATGGGTTGATATGTAGGGTCCAGATGTGGGAGCTGCCTTCCTGGCGTCGGGAGCATTGGTACTCAGTACGGAAAACAAGATCGACGGAAAAAAATAAAGGAAAAAAACAGAAAAAAATGATTATATTTATCAACTGCAGCTCGAATTGCAGCATACTTACTTAACTCAAAAAAAAAAACTCGAACATCTTGCACTTATTTCCCGAAATTTACAATTAAAAACAATACATACACTGTACACAAACATCATCCTCTGATCGAATGAAACCTCAGACCATTCAAAACAAAAGACCGAAATCGCTTTTTCGAATGATAGCTGCAACCGGATGACGGTTGTTTTGAAATCAGATGATTTTCCTCTCGAATACTGGATAAAACTTGTAATGAGAAGGGATAGGGCCTTCAGTTGAAATGCGTTATGCTCTCTGCAGAATGACTGTCATACTAAATGGAAATGGATATGGTATTGGATCAGCCCCATAACGCAAATCATTCAAAACGATGATGTAAATAATTCTATCGAACGTCATTTGCTGATCTGAGCTGACAAACTAGGTGGAAGCATATGCATCGCTATCAGAGCTGTTACGAACAAAGGTAAAGGATGAAAACCAATGTTTGGCTAATTCGTGGTGGTGGAGGTTTTCTCCACCACGAAAGTTTTTTGTATCCATGATGGAATGGCTTATTATGGTTATTCAGTATGGAATTATACATAATCAAATTATAAATCTAATGAAAAGCACTTGCATGTCACACTATTCTTAAATGTTTGTCCTCTGAGTGCCGTATGTTTTATAGCTAATTTTCAAACGAAAATCATCCTGTATTTGGATGACAGTCATATGGATGTTAATCATCTGACGACGAATTCAACCATAAGAAAATCATCCGAAATTCGAATGCATATTGTTAAAGGGCACGAGCAATGCAATAATCATTCGAAGTATTGCGGATGTTTTGGTTCAGTGTACGTGGAACGCGTAAGTATTGTTATTGTTTACATTTTTGTCCGGGTGAAAACGAGGGAATGGTTGGTAGTTAGTTTTGCTTTCATGGCCCAGAGAATGGACACAGCAAATAAATGCTAAATCAAAATTAACTATTGTTGGCTTAATAATAGAATATTGTTATTTTTACAATAGTTGCATTTGAAAAGTGGCTGATTAAAACAAAAAGAATCATATTTTGAATTTATATGAATAAGTATTACTGAAACAACAAAAAGAAATATAATTTCAACTGGAATTGTTTGCTTAAATACAATTAAAGATTTTTTTGGTTCAATGCAAACAATTTTCTGTCCGTGTTGTTCTACTCTTATTCCTCTTCGATCCTTGTTTAGACCCTACCCGAGGTAATCCTTCTTGGATATCGATTTGAATAATTCCGCTTCGATCCTTCAGATTCTTATAGTAATCTGCTTGGAAGTCGATTTGGATAAAAACAAAAATTTACTGCCGCCATGGCGCCTAAACGCAAAAGAAAAGGGCAATCTATTGATCCCCCTTCTGATGAAATTAATTTGAGCAATCAATTTGATTTGCTCACGGATGATGAGAATGATCCATCATCCAGGAAAATTTTTAGTAAACTTTCCCGGCTCAATGCCAAGAAGGAAAAGATTCCCCCTATTGTGATAACCACTTCCGATTTCCATGATCTTTGGAACTTGTGAACTTCGTGAAAGTTAAGTTTTCACAACAAATTGGACGTCGGGGTGAATGCCGTGTAGTGGCTGAAACGTTGGACGGATTTAAATGTCTTTTCAAGTATCTTACTGAGAAGCAGCATATTTTTTTTTACTTATGACACCAAAACTGAACGTGTTTTCAAGGTTGTCATGAAAGGACTGCCCAGTGGTGAATCCCTGGATCAGAT